TGTATATCTGTGCATTTATCAACAGACATAGTTTTTGCCAGAAGCGCGCTGCTTGGGACCCGCGCTGGCTAACGTCTTCTTGTAGCAGAGAGGCGCCGACCCGATCGGGGGCCACGAACGCCCCACGGCCTTGAGACCCACGAGCCATGCCGCAGTTCGGCCGGAAGCCCGCTCAAACTTTGCCCCCGGGGCCTCTTGCGGCATCTCGTGGCGCCAGCATCGCAGAGCGGAGCTCGTTCGGAAAACAAGACGGGCCCGGAGTGTCCTGGAGAATTCCGTTCCGGATTTCGGGGTGAATTTCGTGCGGATTTCTGTTGGCCAGGAATGAAGACCAAACATAGTCCACGCGAAATTCATTTCGTTCTTCGCCCGCCGCTTCGGGCAAACATCCACGCATAAATCCACACAAATCCGCTGCAGCACGTGTGCAAGGCCGGTGCAAGGAGGCATCCATCCTGGCCAGCCATCCAAGTTGCGCCTGGGCGTAGGGACGAGAACCCGTAGAAACGCCCATCCGCCTCCGACACGCAGGCGTCGACGTCGTCATCCCCTCCCTCGCCCTCGGGGCCGAGGACGTGATGTTCGCTCAGAGCTTGTCCCTGGACTCTGGACCTCTCAGAAGACTCGGAAGTCCCCAGGCCTTCTGATATGTTTTCTCAGCCTTCCCCGAAGATACAGAAGTATTCTCAGAAGTCGCGAGGGCGTCTGAGAGGCCCCGCCGCCTTCTGAAAAGGCCTTCTCCTTCTCACTTCCCCTCGCTCGCCGCCGAAGGGTCCATCCATCCTGGCCAGCTCTCCGAGCTGCGCCTGGGCGCGGCGACGAGAACCTGCAGAGACGCCCAAGAGCCTCCTACACGAAGACATCGACGTCGCCGCCCGCCCCATCCACCCACGCGTTCCAGAAATCCTCCGATCTGACGATGGATGATGGGTGATGATGGATGCATGATGGATGCAATGGATGGATGGATAATGGGTGATAATGGATTGACGGGTGATGATGGATGCAATGCCAATTCATGAGGATGATGGAGGATGATGAGGCTGATGGGGATGATGGAGGATGATGGGCCCCTTCGCGCGCCGCCGTTGCCAGCGGAGGACGTGATGGGGATGCTCGAGCACGACGACGGGCTGCCCGCAGAGAAGCGCGCGGCCCACCGCCACGTGCTGCAGGCCAAGGTCAGCTACCGTAGCGTGCTGCCCCTGGAGGACGCGGGGGCCTCGGCGCGGCTGCAAGCGCGGCGGCCGGCGCGGCGGCCAGCGCGGCGGCCAGCGCGGCGAAGCGTCCCCTACTCCTCCGCCTCCTCCCTCCTCCTCCCTCCTCCTCCTCCTCCCTCCTCCTCCTCCTCGTCCTCCTCCCTCCTCCTCCTCCTCCTCCTCCTCCTCCTCCTCCGTCTCCTCCTCCTCCTCCTAGGGCTCCTCCTCCTCCTCCTCCTCCTCCTCCTCCTCCTCCTCCTCCTCCTCCTCCTCCTCCTCCTCCCCCGACGCTCTGAGAAGACTTGGAGCGCCGCCGGTTTTTGGGCCGTAGTTCTCGGGGCCCCCCGGCGCGCCCAGCTCGGGAGCTTCGAACGGTCGAAGCCCCGGCCCCGGTGAAGTGGTCCGGACCTCCGGGGCCCGCGCACCGAAGCAATGGAAGCAGCCGGATGTCTGGGAGCGTCGGGGGGCGAGGGGTTCGCAGAGGGGGGACATCCTGGGAACGTGTGCCACAGGTGAGTTGGGCCTGTCCCTCTACAGAAGGAGTATTCACATGTGGTCAAAAAATAGTCAGAGGACGATTGTTCTAGCATTTTCGAAAAAAAAACATATGTTTCATTACTCTTATTTTTCATCGGAAATCGGCGTGTAGGGGGACATGCCCGACCTAATGCCACAGTTTTGTTTATGTTTTTTGGGGGCTCTGGCAAGTTTACTTGCATGGACGGGAGGGGGGGCTGAACCTGAAGCAATCCGCAAACGATTTGGCGTGCGGAGATCACGCAAGTCGAAAGGCACTTGCACGCCCGTGCTCGATTGAAGAGGGGCGAGGGGGGTGGCGAGCGGAAGCTGTGCAAGCAAACTTGCCGGAGTCTGAAGGAAAAACTTGCTCTCGTGCCAGTCTCCCACGCCTGGGGCGATCTCCTCCGCTGCTCCCTTTGTCCAGGGCGCTCTCAGGGGCGCCTGGCTCGTCCCGACTGGCCGCCCGAGAGCCGCCGAGTGAACTAGGAGGAGGAGGAGGAGGAGGAGGAGGAGGAGGAGGAGGAGGAGGAGGAGGAGGCCTTTTCGGAGGTGGATAAGACCTCCTACCCTGACGCGTCGATCGAGGAATTGCGCGGCCGTCGTCCTTGCGGGTCCAGGGCCCGTCGGTTTCGGGGTCGGGCCGTGTCCACTCCGGGGAGGTTTGCGAAAGGGAGGCTCGTCCACCGCCGAGACCGTCGAGACCGCCGCTGCGGCGTCCACGAAGGGGAGGTTTACGAAAGGGAGGGTTGTCCACCGCCCAGGACCGCGGTTCGTCGTCGAGCGCCCATCGCCGACCCCGTCGGCGCTGCCTCGCCGAGGCCAGGTCGAGGCTTTCCCAGGGGTTCCCCGTGGCTCCTCCGGGGACCGGGCCGAAGAGGTGGGCCGAGCGGGGCCCCCCGCCGCCTTCCTTGCGCGCGGGCCGAGGACAGCCCCAATATCAAGTCGGGCCTGTCCCTCCACGGGAGGAATGCTCAAAAATAGTCCAAAAATAATATGGTGACGATTGTTCGACTGTTCTCGATCAGCTTTGAGTATGTTTGCATATGTTTTACATGTCCTCCAGAATCCGCCTGTAGGAGGACACGGCCGACCTAAGGCAAGGGGAGGCCAGTCGCGGAGAGTTGCTGGCGCTCTCTTCCGAAAGCCTGTGCTCAGGCAGTTGTTTGAGCGACAGCCTGGGGACGAGTTTGGGACTATTTTTGGATACGGTTTGAATATCTCATTTCTCGTCCAAAATCCGCCTGTAGGGGGACACGCCCGACTTCATCCTCATACCCGGTGTGGCGCGCTCGAGAGGGAGGGGCCTCGCCCGCGGGGGATCGGAGGAGCCCCGGACATCACGCGCGCCTCGGGCAGATCGGGACGGCGGTGCGTCGTCGTCGTCGGCCTCTCGGGGCCTTTTGCCCTTGCCAGGAGGGAAAAAACACACAGACAGAATGAATCGACGATTCCCCAGAAAATATGGGAAAACATGGGAAGTGGGGGGGAATACGAAAGCCCAGAAAATATTGGAAAATATATGGAATCCGGTAATTTGTGTGTATTTATTTGTGTGTCCCAGGGCCCCTTCACCCTGGTTGACCCAGTAGGGGGTCCAGCGACACGAGGGGGTGGTGCAACAGATTTGGGGCAATTGATTTTTTGTGGGGTTGCAGTCGAGCTGGGGCGTGCAGTACATTCCGGTGCGCAAATGCATTGTTGGGTCTCCCCGTGCAATACATTCGTTGCCGCGAAACGCCGTACAAGTCCCTGGCGCAATATGTTTGGCAATCCAATCGCCCCAAACCTGTTGCACCACCCCCTTTCAGCTGGATTCTCTTTTGGGTCAACCAAGCATTACTTGGCCTCGGGACCGTCAAGAAGCGGCTCTCAATGAAACAAACACAAGAAACGTCCTCGCGCAAGTGGTCGAGGGGTCGGATGCCCGCGTCTTGCAAAAATCGAGACGCCGGCTGTCTTGAGTTGGCACTTCTTCCCCGGCGGGAGGAGACCGAGAGTAAGATGGGGGCGGCTCCGACGGCGGCAGGTGGCGGGGAAGTAGAACAGTGAGGCGCCACCATTTTTGGGCCTCGAGTTTGCTGGGATCGCCCATTGGTGACGACAGCTCCAGAAACAAGCAGCGGCGAAGCGTTTTGGATTGCCGATCGGCCCACCAAATACTGTTATAAGTATTTGTTTGTGGTTTGCACGACATGTTCTCAGAACATGTCTGGCTGAGACTGTCTTGTTTCAACACATCGGCTCTATGTTCTAAGCACATTGATTTGTTCTCGGAGCATTTTGTTGGTTCTAAAAAGATTTCGCGGTAGGCCGATCGGAATGTTGGGACGGTCGGCCTTTGCTCAACAGAACGGCTCAAAAGGACAGGGAGTTGCTGCAGTATTTCGTCGCGATCCTTTCGGTGCCCCTTTCGACCGCACCGAGGGTAGGCGGCATCAGCAGCAGCATGAGGGGGAACGTTGCAGCCAAGACGCTGAAATCAGGATCACTTCGAGTTTGGAAGGAGCTCGATGTTCCTTAGGTCCTTCCATGGGTGTTCCTCCGTCGCTCCTCGTGCACCCAGGCGCTTCGGGCGCCCCCAAGGGGCGTCGTTCCCGATCTGGCGTTCCTTGTGTGGTAGCACCTCGGCTGTGCCACAAGGCTTCGGGTGCCTCTCCTGCAGCTCCGCCCGTCCTCGCGCTCCTCGTTGAGCCCCCCCCCGCCCCGCCCCTCAGGGGCAATGTGGGGGGGGGGGGGGGGAATTGGGCTCACGTGGGGACGCCTCGGCCCCCCATCGCCCACCCATCGCCGATCGGGGGCCGATTCGCCCATCCTCCGCGGGAGCGAGCGGCGGGCTCACCATCGGGGGCCCGCCGCCGATGCATCGGCGATGCTTCGCCGATTCCAGCTCGATGCTCACCCCCCTGGGGGCAGGAACCCCCTCCCCGTGGCCCAGACCCCCGAAGTCGCGGTTCCGTTCGCAGCGCGAGCCCCCAGAGGTCTGGAGCCCTCTCCCGGGACCGCTGTCCCATCCCGGGCAGTTGTTTGACGGTCCCGAGGTCCAGGGCCCCCGGATGCCGAAAATTGTCGATCACCTCCCATCTGATTGTGAAGGCCTGACGGCCGGTGCCGCCGACCCTGAAAGACATCGACGACGACCAGGAGAGGGAGGAGGAGGAGGAGGAGGAGGAGGAGGAGGAGGAGGCAGTGATAAGGAGGAGGAGGAGGAGGAGGAGAAGGATGACCCCCCTTTCCTGGGATCTGATGTTTGTCCACGGCTAGAGGAGGTGGGGGCTCACTCAGGCCGGGGTGTTGGAGCGGATCCACCTCAACTTCCGCCTCGGCTACCTCAAGGACGTGGCGCTGCCCAGGCTCCTGGACGACGCCTCGCTCGCGGCCTTGACGCAGATGATCCACTCGAACCTTTCGGCGACCCAGCGCGAGAGGGGGAGCAGCAGGAGTAGGAGGAGCAGGAGCAGGAGCAGGAGCAGGAGTTGTTCAGCCAGCATTTGTTCCCGCGGATTTGAATTATAGATCCTGGCGGATGGCCCAACCATGCCCAATTGTGAGTGCCTCGTGGCCTTATGGGGCCACGAATGGTGCCTTGGGTTCGCCGCATTGGGCGGGGAGCCGCTAGTAGACGCACACACTGAGGACAAAACGTATGAGGGGTGCGCCAGATTGGAAGGGCACCGCTGTTGTCGCAGCTACTGGGGCCTCTGTCAGTTCGAGCCCCCTGTTGGGCCACGGAATGTGCGAGAAGTGCGCCTATAGATGGGCGGAACGAATCATGTGAGGCGTGTGCCGAAGTGGGCTGGGAGACGCTATACGGTACCACACCATGGGGTGTTCGGTGGAGCTCCTATTGGTCCACAAAGCGTGTGAGGGGTGCGCCAAGACGGGCTGGGGGACGCTATGCGGGGCGTTCGGCGGAGCTCCCTATGGGGCCGCGGCACGTTTGAGGGGTGCGCCGAGATGGGCTGGGGGACGCTTAGCGGTATCACCGTCTGGGGGCATTCGATGGAGGTCTTTCTGGGGCCACGAAACGTGTGAGGGGTGTGCCGAGATGGGCGGGGGGACGCTGGGACGCTAAGCGGCATCGCCGTCGGGGCGCGTTCGGTGGAGCGCCCTGTGGGACTACGAAACGTGTGAGGGAAGTGCCGAGGCGAGCGTGACGCCCGCGTGCGGATGTCGCCACCAGGGCGTTCGGTGGAGCTCCCTACAGGGCCACGACGCGTCGGAGGGGTGTGCCGAAACGGGCTTGTTCCCCACGTGCGAACGTCGCCACTGGGCATTGGGTGGAGCTCCCTGTGGGGCCACGAAACGTGTGAGGGGTGTGCCGAGACGAGCGTGACGCTCTCATGCGAACGACGCCACTGAGGCATTCGGTGGAGCACCCTACAGGGCCACGAAGCGTCGGAGGGGTGTGCCGAAACGGGCGTGACGACCACCTGCGAACGTCGCCTCTGGGGCCTTCGGTGGAGCTCCCTGTGGGGCCACGAAACGTGTGAGGGAAGTGCCGAGACGAGCGTGACGCCCACATGCGAACGTCGCCGCCTGGACGTTCGTTAGAGCTCCCTATGGGACCACGGAGCGCCGGATGGGTGTGCCAAAAAGAGCGTCACGCCCCACATGCGAACGTCGCCTCTTGGGCATTAAGGGGAGCCATCTACGGGGGGGGCGGTGGTTGAGGAACGTGCCCAGGAGGCTTCAGACCCTGGAGGATGTCTTATGTGATGAGGGCGGCGGTGATACCCATGGCCAAGCCACGATTGAATTACCACAGTCTTCCAGACCCTGGATTCTTTATCAATTGTTGTTCATCCGACGCCCGCACCGCATGGGCCACGGAACGTATGAGGGGTGTGACGCCCACATGAGAAAGTTTCCGTTGGGGCCTTAGGTGGAGTTTGTTATGGGGCCACGGAACGTGTGATGGGTTTCCTGGGATAATGGTGATGATGTTGATGATGATATTGATGATGACGATGATGCATGATGTTGCTGATGATGATGATGATGATTGTGATGCTGATGGTGATGATGATGATGATGATGATGATGATCATGATGATGGGAGTGATGGTTATGATGATGGTGATGATGCTGATGACGACGACGATGTTGATGATGTTGATGATGATGATGGTGGTGGTGGTGGTGGCGGTGATGGTGAAGACGATGGCGATGTTGGTAATGATGATTGTGACGACGATGACGATGACGATGACGATGACGATGACGATGACGATAAGAATGATGCCAATCATGACGATGACGATGAGGATGATGCCAATCATGATTGATGATGTTGATGGGTATGAAGTTGATGGCGGCGGCGGTGGTGATGATGATGATGACGATGAGGATGATGATGATGCTGCTGAGGATCCTCAGGATGATGATGATGCTGATGATGATGATGGTGGTGATGATGATGGCGATGATGGTCATGCTGATGGTCGTGATGCTGATGCCGATGATGAAGACATGCGAAGGGTGGGAGGTGGGATGGCAGGAGACGCGGGGTGCAATCTCTTCAAAACAGCGACCCAACACCACAGGATGGGTGGACGAACGATCTACCGATGATGTTAATGATCATAAGGATGATGATGCTGATACTTGTTACTGTAACGGTTATGGTGTTGATCATGATGGTGATAACGATGGTGCGGATTGTGATGGGAATTGTGATGATGGTGACGATGATGATGACGATGCTGATGAGGTGAGACGCATGAGGAGGGAGCCCCTCGTGGGGCCACGAAACGTGTGCTGGGTGCGCCGAAATTGGCGGGGG